TTGGAGAGCTCCCTGCACCTGATCTGCTGCAGCACATGGTTGGAATTCTATCCTCTGATCTGCTTTTACTCCAGTCAAAAAGCGTCTGTTAGTCGTTGTTACCTGGAGGCCCCTACTAGTCCTAGGGTGCTACTGTAAAAGCTCTGGTTAAGATATTGAGATAAAAATCAGAGCCAATGATTTCACCAGCAAATTTTTTTGCTGATAGCATCTCTTTAACTATGTAATTCTACTTGAATTCTAGTTGAATTCAATGGGACTTGCTCCAAATCCCAAGTTAGCCAAGGAAATCACTAACTCATGGACAAATACTCGATTACTCATTCCAACAAAATTTATAACATGTGTGTTTGTACCAGGGATAGCTAGTATCTGAGGGTTAACATGACAGGAAATAAAAGTTCCATAAATGGTGAACAGGTCTTCAGTTAGGTATCACCACTAGACATACTAAATATGATATTAACATCAGGTTATTAATATTAAAATGTAATAAATTTCAACCCAAGTTTTCCTACTCTAAATATGACATGGCACTGGCATTTTTATTATATTATATTATTATATTATATTATATTATATTATATTATATTATATTATATTATATTATATTATATTATATTATTATTATTTGATTTAGAATATCCAGATTAGTTATCAGTCAATTGCCACCGAAATGTTCCAGGAGCAGGGGAGGAAACCACTTGTAGGCCAAGGAGCAGATCAGGAACCTGCTGCTCTAGAACTGACCCAGGCTAGTGTAATCAGTTTGTAGATTGCAGGCCAAGCAGCATTAGGTTGGTGAACATATAAATACAAAAACAGTATTCTGAAAATGCAGAATCTAAACCAAGAATGCCAAGATGAAATATAACAGGGAAAGCTTTCCCATTAATAAATGATCTCACAATCTAATTAACAGTGCTGAGGGGTTTTTTGAAATTCAGTTTCTTGAAAAATATAGTGTACTGCATTGCACATCAGTGTACCTCCTTCTTTTTGTGTGTGAGGGTGGTTCCTCCATTGAAGTAAAGAAGGAATGTCTTGAAGGCTCTGTATTTGCATCATGACTGCTGCACCACATCTCAGATTCCGACACTGACTTCCAATCCCTTCCCAATGCCATCACAAATGCCTAACCTTTAAAGGGCTCCATAACCTTTTCCCAAACTGTCTCCCCATCCATCTTTCCCAATATATCTCTGCCTATGACCTCAAACATTACCATTGTTGGCCACTTATTCCCTTGCTGTCTCGTATCCCAGAATACCTAAATGGCTGCCAAATCTTTTTACTTCCTTCCTTGAAACCATCTTTCGTTTGAGGTTCTTTCCTGAACTGAACATCCAGTGGCAACTGCAATGAAGTCTTAAGTATTTGTAACTCCATTGACCACACTGATTTAATTATCAGTCTAACATTTCCCCACCTCCCTTTCCTCTTTGCCCTCTCTTTTCCTCATTGTCAAACTTCAGATTGGGAGCCTATTGGGGAAGGGACCTGGCTAAAGCATCATGTACATTGATGGTGCTGCAAAAAATAAATAAATAACAGATTACTGAATTAGGCCAATGGTTCATTTTATAAAACATGCTTGACTATATTTACAAGTGCCTTTTCTCTAAACTGTCCACCAAATTCAGATTTTAAAACAAAGGTGGGGCTTCCAGGTGTTGTTGCTGGCAGCTGGGATAGCTCAGTCGGTAGAGCATGAGACTCTTAATCTCAAGGTCATGAGTTTGAGCCCTGCATTGGGCAAAATATTCCTGAATTGCAGGGGGTTGGACTAGATAACCTTCATGGTACTTCCAACACTACAGTTCTACCATGATCATGTTGATGTTGGGTGGACCTGATGGGAGCTGGAGTCCAACCACTTCTGGAGAATCACTGGTTCCCCACCCCTTTTAAAAACACCCAGTATCACATGAAGTGACAGCTGTGCTTTCCCCCATAACATATCCTTTCTCTGTTTTCTTAAAGATTTCTTTTTTTAAAAAAAGTGGTTTGTACTAGCTTTCTATTTCCTAATATTGCAGACCAATGTCCCCTTATTATCTGAGTGACATGGATTATTCAGATCTCAATAGCAGCACTCTATTTCTAGGAAAAAAGACAGGAGTGGCAATTCCTTCCTAGAAATCCCTTCGTCTGCCTTGAAAGGCCTCATCCTTAACAAGAGAAGTATGGGAGTGAGGAAAATGCACTCTGCATGCATTCCAAAGTCTTCTCTCCTTTGAATCATGTCCACATGCTCAAGCGTTATGCTTCAGAACACAGCCTTGGATGCTACAGTTAACAGCAGTTAGTAGAATCAATAGGATTCTCCCCAGATCAATTAGACATTTTAAAGAGCCTTGCATGTAACCATTGTTGATCAGGCAAAATGAAGCAAAATGTCAGTTGCCAAACCTGTTCCCTGTTCCATCTGTGCAGCTGTCCTCTTGAAGTCTCTTTCTACACGATCAACCAAGAGCCCTTAAAAACTACCCATTTGACTCTTCCATAAGCTTTCCAAGGCAGCATCCTGCTTCATCAGGTGAAAGTTAATGAATAGGGTAAAAAGGGATGTTGCTTGCAAAAGCTTATGCCAGAACAGAATAGTTCGTTTCTACAATGCCACAGGAGCAATGGTTGCCCCTGCTATAACACAGATCTCCTTTAGGAATGTTCATTTTCATTGCAGGAAGCTGCATTTGGCAATCAACTCCCTAAGCTTTTGAATGTGTGGGGTGTGCTTTGGGGTCATGTGGGCACATCCCTGTTCTTGTTCTCCCCCTTCTTCAAGTTCTTGGCTTTAAAACCCTTGGCATCGCCCTCTTAGAAAATGCCTGTATCAACTGGGGACAGAATGGAACACATTCCTTTAAAGACAGTATGACAAATTGCAATTCTAATCATCTTAGCTGGCAGCGATTTTTCTGCTCAGGCTATCACTTCATTCAGTCTCCTCCTCCCCTGCTCAGCTTTCAATTTTTAAGATATTGTACCTTTATTCTTACAGTCGTGTGTTGTGAGGTATCTGTTCTTAATTCAATGCGAGCGCAAACTGACAGAATTACATTTCTCTTGCAGTTACATTGCATTGCATGGGAGCAACGATTCAGACCTTAATGTTAACTAAGCCCCATTCGGTTACTGTTTTTACCTCCAGTATAGCAAAGGGGTAGCATCATAGGAGACTCTACTGAACTGAACAAAAATCTAATCAAGGAACCCTCCCATTACCTGGATGATTTAAACAAAAAATGAAATAATTTCATAGCTGTCATTTTGGTAGTGCCAGGGACAACTGTTCTTTGTTCCATCAAATATATCCCCTAAGGAGATGTACATTCCAGCTGAGGAACTTCATGAAAAACAGAGCATTTTCAGATTTGATTTTATCGTGGTATTATTTTTGCTACTTGACCCTTGCAATAGCTACATTGTGCCTATCGCTGAAGCCTTCTAGAAAACCCTCTGAGCCTTACAAAAGAGAAATATCAAGATGATGCCAAGTGAGAGACGGAAGGATGGTCACATGTGCATACTGTATATACTAAAAATTCATCTGAATCTATGTCATAGGAGACTGCTGTTCCAGAAAAGCAATGTTCCCTGTAGCAGGCTTATCACACAGGCAAGAGCCATTTCTACCCCCAAATACAGGACTCATTCTGTGCTCACTTTTCAGTTGCTTTCCTCCCCCCAAATCAAGGAAATGTTCCTGAGAGTGCTGTGATTTATTGAGAAAGGGATGGGGCAGAGTAATTCTAATATGGAGAATTGCAAAAAGGAAAATGGCTGATCGGTAGCTCTTGCAGCTATTGCTGTTCAGAATCAACAATCCACTTGCAGCTTTTTTGCTGCTTCCCCAATCATCCTCTTGCTATGCACCCTTTCCTACACCAAGAGAGGCCTTGGGGGTTGAAACATCCCTCAAGAATCTATCTCTTTTTTTTAAGCATAAGGCATATGCCAGAATGTGGACTTCTGAATTACTGAGGCAGCCTTTACAAGGCAGTGAACAGGCTTGGGATATATGGTCCCGTGCCATGTGCAACCACGGACAAGGATGCTATCTTGTCACCCCTCCCAATTTGCCCACTCCTTCTCCTCCTGCATATGTGTAGCAACTCTGCCCAGTGAGACAACAGGCTGCTTCTGGACACTGCTTTTAGAAGAGTAGGCAGAGGAACCTGGTGACAAATGTCTTTCCCCCTATTATGGAAAGATGGTGTGCTGAATATTCATCTTCCCAGTATACTCTGCTGTGGGAAGGTGAAAATATACACTATGTCTAGCAGTGGACAGGATTAAACAGCCGGTGCCCCTGAACCTGCAGGAAAAGGCAGGAAGAAAGCCCCAAATGCCGCTGTCCTGCAAGCTCTTGTCCCCACATTCTCTCCCTGCATCTCTAAAGCATTTCTTCAGGGAAGAAAGACCCGCCTTCACAAAGCAAATACCCATGCAGAAAGGGTTGACATGACATTCAGTCACAATGCATGCAGAGGTAAATAAGAGCACACCCCACATAGGGAGGGCCCATGGGGGCTTCCATTATGGAGCAGGGTGGGGTCCTGCCTACACCACAATCAGTCATGACTGCAGCCAACCTTATGTAATACATTGAAAGCACAAGAGAGAGATCCTTGGAAGTCTCTAGCCAAAATGCAAAGCAGATGGTACGATCTGGTCCGAAGGGGCAGGACAAGTGGCAGGACAGGAGTAGAGCAGGACTACCCTGAGCAGGCAATGGTGCAACCATCTTCCAGAGGGAAATTTAGCTGGATGGATGGGTGCATTCTCCATAGTTTAATCGCCTCACGCCCTGCCCCACGAGCCCTCCCAGGCTCTCTGGAGCAGCTGAATGCCAAAGTCATGATTCCCACCCTACTCACACACACACTTGCTTAATGCACAAGAGCACCTGCTGCCCTAACTCCACCAACACAGGAGCAAAGGGTTTCTGGGGAGGGGAGGGGAGGATTTGAATGAACTGAACATTCATGACTCACAAGCGTTGGTGACAGCGAAGCTGTTGGCCACCTCCAGATTGTCGATGTGGGGCGACAGTCGGAACTCTGAAGTGGAAAATTGAACCATCCCTACCCGAAATGCACTGTATTCCTGATCAGCTCCCCTGGGGAAGAGCCCCCCTGTAGGATGACAAACACACATAAAGACAGAACAAGAGAGACACACAGAGAGGACATCAGTGCTGCAGGCTCGGCAGTAGCGCTGCCAGACTCACAAAGAGAAAGAGACCTTCGTTTATTTGCCATGGGACTTGCCTCAGATTGCCAGTTTCACTGACCTTAGGGATGATCTATATCCTAAAATCTCAGCCATCTCTCTCCCCTTCAGGGTCCGGATACCCAAACTGAGCTTGGCAGGGGAAGGGGGGCAATATCTGGAAAGCACATGGTGTGCTGCCTTCCTCACATGAAGGGTGCAATCCAGATCCATTCAGAGCAATGAAAGGTGGGAGGTTTTGGCTTCCCCATCCTGATTTCAGTGGGATGTGGATTGCACCTTCCCAAATGTCACCAGTGAAGTGTTTAGTTTTAAGCCATGAACTGGCTTGGGGAAAGGAGTTGCTTCTAGTGGGATGGGATTCAAGAAGGATTTAAGAATGGGGGGGGGGAGGGCGAGGGGACAGGAGTTGATCTAAAATGAAGGCACTTTCCCTTTTTTTGGCAAGCATCCACTCCAGCAAGAAAAGGCTGGATTTAAGGGTGCATGCCATGAATACGGCAATTGGACCTGAGTGGTGACCGTGTGCCAGAATCTCATCTAACTATATATATATATATATATATATATGGGAACCTCTCTGACGGGGCCACTCACCTATTTGTATGCCGTTGGAGTAGACCCCCCAGATGAGTCCCCAAACCAAAGGAGCCAGGAAGAGAGCAATCTGCCGGATCTTTTGCATTGCCATGAAAAGTAGAGCATCCACAAAGCCACAGAATATTCCTTTGCTGCAGCCGCCGCTGCCTTCTCCTCCCTTGCCCGTTTGTCGCTCAGCAAATTAGATCCTCTGCATCTTGGGCGAGCAGATGAAGGACCCGAGCTGGAAATGAGCCCTCAGCGGGAGAAGAAGAAGAGGAGGAGGAAGAGGAGGAAGGGGGTGGATAGAGAAGCAGCCTTGGCCCGCTGCTGCAGTGCTCCCGAGGCCAGCCCGGGGAAGGGAAGAGGCGCCTGGGATGCCGTTTTCAACGCTGCTCTTGCGCTGCCGTCGCCTCGGTACATCCAGCTCCTTCGCCGGCGAGCACACGCATTCGCCCAGCTCTGTCTCTCTCGCCCTCACACACACGCACTCACACACTCACACGCGCGCACACACCGCACACTCGCGCACAGCCAGGCAAAGCGAGCGAAGGGAAGAGGCGGCGTGCGCGTGCGCCGCCGGAGAGAGAGCCTCCTTATACCCCCCCCCCTCCGTACGCCCCCTCCCCGCGTAGGCCTGGACGCGCGCGCGAGCTCGGCGCGCCTTGGCCAAGGCACCGCTGCTGCTGCTGCTGCTGCTGTTGGGGGCGGCTGGGCTCGCCAAGAGGCCGGTCCTTTTCAGCACCACGGACAGCGCCGCGGAAGACAGCCGGGGACAGCCAGGCTTCGGTCCAAAGCAGCCCCTTCCGCGCCCCCTACGGCTGCAGCGAAGAGCTCTCTCTCTCCCCCCACCACCCCCCGTCTCTCTCGTTCTCTCTCGTTTCACCGGACAATCGCGGTTTCTGTCACCCCCGCCCTCCCCACCTATTGCGAGCGATCAGGCTTCCGATCCAGAGAAGCAGAATGGTGTGGGTTGTGCCAAAGCGTAACTTAGAAACGGCCTGCTTTCCAGAGCTGCTTGCTTTCCCCTCCCCCGCTTCCCCAAATCGGACGGTTCAAGGAGCATCTTGGTCGGAGGAGGAGCTGCTCGCTCACTTTCTGCATGCTAATCGCTTAAAAAAAAATCAGACGCGTTGGCGGGCAGGAGAATGCCGTCTTAAAAAGAAGCGAAAGGAGATCAGCTCCCACCAGCTAGAGCTGGTCTGCCTGAATTTTTCACTCTTCCACTGAGGCCAAGTTCTTGTTCTGAAAGGTAGGGAAACCGAGTCAAAAAGTAGGAACGGGGTTCAGCTACATTCCCTTTCCCAGAAACAGCTGTCTGGAGTTCAATGAGCTTCAAAGGAAAGCCAGTGCAAATATTGATCTCTTCAGCACACATTCTTACACATTTGATTACATGTGCCCATTGCATACACACCCACGTTTAGCTGTGACATTTTGTACATTCAGGAAAGGTGCCACAATGGTCATATGAATACAGACCCACAGGTGCACGCCACTATTTGTTCATCTTGCTGTGGGGCACCAGACTAGTAGTAGATTAATATACATTAGGTTTAACCTGCAGGCAATTGGAAAGAGGCCCCCATCTCTCTATAATGGAAGTTTATTGTATTTTTGTCTGTTTTATTATTTGGTTACTGTAGTTTAATATCATATAGTGTACTGGGGAATTGTAATAGTGATATATCACCTTTAAGTATAAATGAATAAATATTGTGAGCTTGTAGCTTCAGATTGAGGTGAGAGACATCCATAGCCAAACACATAACATAAAATTAGTAGCAGAACATAATTACTGAGCTTCTGCCTACTTGTGAAAAACTTTACTGAAGAGAAGGAAGGTGCAAAATTGGAAACTGGGTTCCAGAGTATATTACAACCCACTATCAAGCTCCTAAAGTGTTGCCATGTTATTCAGAGCTGCAGTGAAATTGCATACACTGGATGTTTCATTCCATTCATTTTAAAGCACAAATTCTCTCTTGCCTCTCTAAAGCTTACCAGAGGCTTTGCCTTCTTCTGTGGTGTGTTTCTCAGATGAAAAAATATTGGCCAGGTGTAGGGTTGTCTACTGAATCAGGCACCTGGCAAAGGCCAGTGAAAAGGTCCTCCCTCCTACTGGTGAGAGATACCCACTAGGGAAAAATAAAGCAGCAAGTGCCACTCAGTTTTCTTCCCAGAAAACAAAGTATGGAAGTGCGGCCAGAGAAGTGTAAGGGGAACCACAGTTATAATATTGTCCACTGGCTTGCCCCTAAGTCTGTGTCCTTCCCAATGGAAGGATGCATCTCATAAAGCAAAAACAACAAAACCCACTTCTACTTTAGTGTGATGGAGGAACGGTACAGTTCTTATCTTGCTGGAGCACACAACCCACCACCTGTGTTACAGATGGGCAAATTGTGGCCTAAGCTGGTGAAGCCCTTGCCCTAATTTCATGTGCCAAGGAGGGGGAAATGGGCAGAGAAGAGAGAAGTGGCAGCAGTAGAGGAGGGGGGAAAGGGAATGTCAGAAAGAGAAAGGAATAAGTGGTGGTATAAAGAGGGTGGCCTCATCATCTTTGGCTTCAGCCCCACCCACATTTGGCCCGACCCAGGGCTTTTTTTCAGCTGGAACTCAGTTTTTTTAATTAAAGACTTTCTTGTTTTACAAAAGTGTTTGCAATGTCTCTCTTGTATTCCCCCCCCCATGTAACATTTTTACAAATCAATTTCATTTGTTGAGACATTGGACATTGGGAAGAAAAGGGGGAAAGAGGTGGAGGGGGAAAAGATGGGTGGGGTTGGGGTTGGGCGACAGTGTTACTATTTTACTTACTATATGTAGGGTTTGGTGTCAGCGTTGTTTGTGTAGGTTCTTTGTTGTTTGCTTGTGTCCCTTTGGTGGTGAGAGAGGTTGGGGTTGGTCTAGGGTGTGGTTGTTCATTTGTGGTTGGCTGTGGTGATCTTGGTTTTCATGTGTGAGTGGGGTGGGTAGGTGTTTTGGATCAGGTTAGCCATCTTGATTTGTATGTTGTTGGTGGGTTTTTGTCATTGTCTTGTTGGGCTGTGTATGTGATAAAGGGGAGCCATACTGGGGTGAAGGAGTCTTCTTCTATTTGTCCCTGTGTCAGCTTCAGTTTATTGGTTAATTTTTCTAGTAAGGCTGTTTCCCATACTACAGTGGTGCCTCGCAAGACGAAAATAATCCGTTCTGCGAGTCTCTTCGTCTAGCGGGTTTTTCGTCTTGCGAAGCAACCCTATTAGCGGCTTAGCGGATTAGCACTATTAGCGGTTTAGTGGCTATTAAAGGCTTAGCGGCTTAGCAGCTAAAAGGCTATTAGTGGCTTAGAAAAAGGGGAGGGGAAGCGGAAAAAAATCGCAAGACTCGCAAGACGTTTTCGTCTTGCGAAGCAAGCCCATAGGGAAAATCATCTTGTGAAGCAACTCAAAAACGGAAAACCCTTTAGTCTAGCGGGTTTTTCGTCTTGCGAGGCATTCGTCTTGTGGGGCACCACTGTATTTGGTACCATTGGTCCATGCTTACTCCTGACAGGTCTCTCCAGTGTCTGGCTATGATGCTTCTGGCTGCTGAAAGTAGGTGGGTTATGAGTTCTTTGTGGTGTAAGTGGGCATTATTGTCTTGGAAGATGTTTAGTAAGGTCAATTCTGGGGTGATTTCTAATACTTGCTTGGTTATTTTGTTTATTTATTGTATGGTTGTTGTCCAGAATAGTTGGATTTTGGCACTGGAACTCAGTTCTGGCACCTCTCAGGTGAGCACCATTGCCATTATCAGAGAAAAAGAGAGGTGTTTAAAGCAACAGTTCATTCTGAGTTCTAGCACCTCTTTTTCTAGAAAAATAAAACCGGCCCTACCAACATTGCCAGTATGTGGCCCCTGACAGATTATCTCTGAGAAAATGTAGTCTTTGGGAGAATGTAGACTTTGAGAGAAATAAGATTTGCCCATTCCTAAGCTAAAATATGCCCATAGATTTGCAGAGCAAACATTGGTGTAGCTGAGTTTACTTCCAGGGTAAGCATGCAAGGAAAAAGGTTGATCCTACAGGAGAAGCTCCTCCATTATTGGCTGAACCACTGAGGCCCCCCATGACAACAATAAAATGCAATTGAAGAGATTTATTTTAACAAGCAAAGGTATTTTCCTCACCATTGCTGGGCCATCTCTCTTTAAAAGAGGTAGGAGATTTAAAGTGTACCATCATCCCACTTAGTGATGTATGGAAGTGAGAGCTGGACCATAAAGAAGGCTGATCGCCGAAGAATTGATGCTTTTGAATTATGGTGCTGGAGAAGACTCTTGAGAGTCCCATGGACGGCAAGAAGATCAAATGCATCCATTCTTAAGGAAATCAGACCTGAGTGCTCACTGGAAGGACAGATCGTGAAGCTGAGGCTCCAGTACTTTGGCCACCTCATGAGAAGAGAAGACTCCCTGGAGAAGACACTGATGCTGGGAAAGATGGAGGGCACAAGGAGAAGGGGGCGACAGAGGACGAGATGGTTGGATAGCGTTTTTGAGGTTACCAGCATGAGTTTGACCAAACTGCGGGAGGTAGTGGAGGACAGAGGTGCCTGGCGTGCTCTGGTCCATGGGGTCACGAAGAGTCGGACACGACTAAACGACTAAACAATCATCCCACTAACCAATCATGCTATCCTTCTCATAGCTGTCCTCTTAGGGACAAGTGAAGCTTAGAGATCCCAGAGAAAATCACATAACAAGATGTCTTGCTTCCTTATATTCTCATATTCTGTCTTTGGAATCAGGGCTGGGTTGAGAGACAAGAGTCTGTGGTGGTGGAATCAGGGCAACAATGCAGAGGAAGGGAAGATTCATCACCACCCCTCAACTGCTCATCCTTTTGTTCTGGGAACCCATCTTCAACCCCCCACTTTATACAGAAATGGAGAAGGCACATGAACTACAACCATTGCTGCTCCTGCCGTCTCTAGTGGGGCCCTGAATTAAGAGAATAGATGGAATAGATGTACCACTTCATGACAGCCCTTGACTAATTAGTGCAGACAAGCTTTGCAAGAGCAGATATATTATGGAAATTTGATGTGCCATATTTCAGCCAGCATGATTCCTAAGCCTTCTGTTATGGGGAAAAAAGAACAATACATTCCAAAGATAAAACTTGTGATTTCCACTTTCTGTTAAGCTTAGGCTGCATAAACACCATTCATATAAAACCCATTATTCCCCACCCCACAGAGAATCCTGGGAACTCTAGTTTGTTAAAGTTGCTGGGAATTGTGAAGAGTAGACTACAGTTCCCAGGCTTCTTTCGGGTGTGTGTTTGCTTTAAACGGATGAGCCTGGAGTCAATGTTCTCCGACTGCCAGTGCAAAGGCTGCTGTGAAGCGTAAGGGCAAAAATAAAGGCTATGCAATATGAAAAGCAGCACAGCAGTTCTGCTGGTGGAAGCTTGTTGCACAACCGTTTGTGCAACAAGAAGTATCAGCAATCTGAAGGGCAACTAGCCATGAGAACAATGCTGGCTTCCTGTGCTTTCTCATGAACAAGGCATTCCGCCAGGACAATGAATACACCAGTGTTTCCCAACCTTGGGCCTACAGCTGTTTTTGGACTACAACTCCCATCATCCCTAGCTAGCAAGACCAGTGGTCAGGGATGATGGGAATTGTAGTTCAAAAACAGCTGGAGGCCCAAGGTTGGGAAACACTGGAATACACTACTACATGAGTGTGAAATTAAATTCCTCCTATGTTGTTTTAAATGTGCTACAAATGTATGGTGTGTGCACAGATATATCAGGTCCTTTGAGAGATTTCAAGCACATGTTTAGCTTCTTACACTTCTCGTTTCCCCTGGAGATGTTATTAGGATCAACCCATCACTTGTGCTACACCATTTTATTCCTGGGTTGTCTTCTCAGTAAGCATTTTTGAATTGCAGCTTTACTATTCAGGATTTTTTCAGTCTTCTCTAATATAGCATAATTTGCTTTCTTATGCTGTCTGTTCATTGTCAATTCAAATCAAAGATAGGGTAAATATTTTATGAGATACAGAGAAAGGCC